GATATGAGATTTAAAGCTCTAAATAGAACTTGAATCCGTCATGACACCACACCTAAAGCGAGCTGTCGAAAGATATTACCAATACATACGCGCATTATGAAACATAAAACGGTTTTAACCTGAATAAACTGCACATTAGTCTTTATTGAGGCTTATTTTAACGCAAACATGATATTTATGAATAATGCTCAACTCAGTCTAATACTTCAACCACTACAGGAGCAATTTTACAGCGAGTACCCGCAAATTACAAACATTAAAAAAAGCCACCGGCTCAGTTTGTGCAGCAAATATGTGAAAACACACACAGATGCACAGAAAATCTAACTAAACTTCAGACGGAAAGTTTACCTGAAGCTGAAGCCTGTACCTGGCGCATTCCTCACAGGTAAGGGATGTTAACACATTGAGTCCCGGTTACTCACTTCCCATTTGCTGCCGTTTAGGTCTCGACTTTGGTTGAGCAAAGTGTGAAATCTGATATGCAGAGCCCTCCTCTAGCAAAAAGGAGGCCGGGTATAATCTACACAGGGTGGTACAGTATATCAGCTGTTCAGCAAAACCAGCTAAGCCTATAGAAGCAGCCGTTTTGTAATATTCACACTGCTCATTTAATTTAACAGTCTGTTTTAAAATATACAGTCATACTGCCGCCTACAGAAAATTTTCTTAGGGGGGCCAGAATTGCGACTTTATATATATATATATATATATATATATATATATATATATATATATATATATATATATATATATATATATATATATATATATATATATATATTTGTGTGTGTGTGTGTGTGTGTGTTTATATTCATTGGTGGGAATTGGCTTCCAATTATGCACGCACACACACACACACTCAAAAAGAATTCAGTGTAACGTTATATTTTTGTTTCATTTCATAACTTTTCAGTTACCTTAAGGTAAAAATTAAATTGCAATTGCAGTCTTTTGAAGTATATGTTCTGTCAATAATGATCGAGGAGGGACAGTGAATCAGGTTTTGGATTTTTAGCAACGACCCTTTTTAGATTTTGACTCATAACTTCAGACACCCCTTGGATTAGTTAAAAACCCCATGATGGGAGTTTTATCAGTGTATACAAGTATTCTATACACACATATAGACCCTGAGTTTTCTGTAACAAACTTAATGAAATTGTATAAAGATTTAATAAATCCATAAACATGTTTGTTTTCATTATTAAGTAGCATTGTTACTTACATTTATGTCTGTGTGTGGAGAAAAATAGTACATTTTATGTTTCCTCAACTTTACACTCATAGTTAATAATAAATAATGCATGCTTATTATTCGACAGCTCTATGTAAATGCACATTTTCATTTCTCATTCTTAACTTCTTTTTGTGCAGGAGGAAACCCTGAGCAAGGTGTTTGGTGTGCCCTTGTCCCATCTGAGAAAGACCAGTCAGCTTAGGCAGGGGCTTCCTGAGAAAGCATGGCAAGTGCTACATTATTTCCAAAGGTTTGTCACTTATGCTGAGACTAATTGTAAATAAAATGGGTTTCTGATTAGGCCTCAGTGCATCAGAGAAGAAAATTATATTGATTTTGAGAAAGTTCGCCTCATGCACTGGCAGGTACAAAGTGCAAAAGAGGGAAGATCCCTCTGGGCCCACTGATGGTCGACAAGCCAGTGAGAATTACTGGAAGATACAGAAGGTTGTTGAGGATCACCACAGACACAGAGAGTTGGTGAGGGTTACCAAAGGCACAGAGGGTTGGTGAGGTTCACCACAGACACTGAGGGTTGGTAAGGATCATCACAGACAATAGAAGTTAGTGAGGGTCACCACAGAAACAGAGAGTTGGTGAGGGTCACCACATACACTGAGGGTTTTGTGTGGGTCACCACAGACACAGAGGGTTGGTGAGGGTCACCACAGACAATGGGGTTTGGTGATGGTCACCACAGAAACAGAGAGTTGGTGAGGGTCACCACAGACACTGAGGGTTTTGTGTGGGTCACCACAGACACAGAGGGTTGGGTGAGGGTCACCACAGAAACAAAGGTTTGGTGAGAGTCATCAAAGATACTGAGGAGTGGTGAGGGTCACCAAAGACCCATCAGTGATTCGGTTTATTTACTGTTTATTGACTAATATGAAAATGTTCATATGATTTATTTACAATACAGTTTGTAATGTTTTCTGTCTTTTAGTAGAGATATTACCTGATAGACTTGCTTTGTTTACCAAATAAAGTGGATCTAATTGGATTTGCATTGTAAACATTAAATACAAGTTAAAAAGGTATTACTTTTATTTTATATATTCATGTTTTAGTTATGATACTCCCACAATCATTCCGCATAAATCCACAGACAAAATTCTGCGCAAAAATAGCAAAAAATGTCCACAGATTCCGTCTGGCCCTACTAAGAAGTTAAAGTCCTATAAAAGTCACAAAACTTTACATATCATACAGTAGGTGAGATTATCATGTGAAATTGTTTATAACTGAAAATAAACAGCCTAATAAGCATTTGGTACTGTGATGAACAACAATACAACCGGAATAGTCTTAAATGCACTCAAAGTGTAAATAATAAATATTTATCCACAGTATTTTGCATGAGTGTAAAATTATGATGATATATTGTGTTACTGAACATCAGCATATGTCTACTTGGAACATATTTCTGTAGAATTTAACACCTCACCAATAGATGGCAACAAACTACCAGTGGAGAAAGAGACCATTACAGTTGTCATGAAGTCAATATTATTTCTATTATATCAATTACTCAACAATATTATTCAAAGAGTTACCCATTATTAATAAATTATATTTATGCAGTGTTATTTATGGCTTACTTTTATTGACTTGACTTTTTAGTTTATAAATAAATTTACAGTATTTATACACACACAATTTAAATAGTGAACACAGGTCATAGAAGATATCATACACATATCTTTTAACATTTTCACACCGAAACTACATCGCTTAATGTCTCTTGCTTATTTTATTTTAACACAAGATGCTCATGTGACACTTTTTTTTTTTTTTTTTTTGTAATAGTGCAAACATTTTACAGGCGCACACACATACAGATGCATAGTTATTGGCCCACCACAAGACCTTTACAATTTCAAGGAAATCCCGGATGTCAGCATTCTATTGAATTGAACCAAAATAAACAAATTAAAGCTCAAATAAGAGCTGCAGGATGAGTGATTTCATTCCTCTCATTTGATTGATCAAATATATTTGCAATAGTAACTGAAACAATAGTATCTGGATGCAGGCTTTATGATGCAAGCTGAGATTGCATCACTCAGCAATGCAATGTCAGACACAATGCACTCAATAGAGTGAGTGACGTCACTGTGACAGGTAGGGTTAGGTGGGCGAATTAAAAAGCACTGGATGCAGCTTAGATTGCACTACACCAGGTCTGCATCCAGACCCATCTCAACTGAAAAGAGAACTTGTCTTACAGTAAATTAGTCAGAGCTGAATTAGTCTGAATTAGTACACAGTACTAAGTACTAAATCTCAAATTGCTAAAACTGTCATGCCATTTTTAGGTATCATAACTTTGAAAAACCTTCAAAAGAATGAGTTACAAGAGACTAAAAACAAAACGAGTTCCAGAAAACAATGCTGGAAGCCATCTGAAAGAATTATTGCATTTCAAATGTGTTTTACTTTGCAAATATACTTTTAAAGTATTGTATAATCTATAAATATATATATAAAGTCTAATTAACATCATATAAACACTTAAATTTATGTTTCATAATAAATTATCTTCATCATAAACCCTAAGGTAAATGTTCAAATTGTTTATTAATTTTAACTGGGTAGTAGACACAGCAAACCTTGTACATTACAAAGGATGAGAATCAGCACCTCCAAGTCCGAGGCCATGGTGCTCCACTGGGTAAAGGTGGTTTGCCATCTCTAGGTTGAAGAAAGTCCTTAGCCCAGATGGAGGAGTTCAAGTATTTTTTAAATTTTTTTTTTTTACGAGCGAGGGAAGGATAGAATGTGAGATTGACAGGTAGATCGATGCAGTGGCAGCAGTAATGCAGTTCATGTACCGGCCTGTTGTGGTAAAGAAGGAGCTGAGTCGAAAGGCAAGGCTTTCAATTTATCGGTCAATCTACGTTCATACTCTCTCCTATGGTTATGAGCTTTGGGTCAGGACAGAAAGGACAAGATCTCTGATATTAGCAGCCGAAATGAGTTTCCTAAGGAGGTGTTCCAGGAATGTCCCACGAGGAAGAGGAGGCCTCTGGGAAGACCCAGGACACACTGGAGGGACTATGCATCTCAGCTGGCCTTGGAATGCCTTAGGATTCCCCCCGGAGAAGCTGAAGGAAGTGTCTGGGGAAAGGGAAGTATGGGATTCTCTCCTAAGACTGCAGCCCCTGTGACCCAGCCCCAGAAAAGTGGATGAAAATTAATAAATGAATAAACTATGAAAATATTCTCTAAACTGCAAGACGATAAGGTGTTTGGTCATTTTCCCTGGAAGAGAGTCTGTTAATTTGCTCTTATTTGAGCAAGATATACAACACAACATTCTTTTAAAATCTGTTTAATAAAATCATAATTTTCAGCCAAAAATGACTAAAAATCAGCAGCAAAACTGTCATAAAAGTTCACTATACACTATGATCTCGATGAAGAAAGTGTACAAACTGAAGGACATTTTCTGTTTAAGTGAATTCAGAGCCATGTGCTCACTCTTGATCTTGGAAACTGAAGCCCTCTGACTTTAGATTAATCCACTAAACAAACTCAATGAACTCAATCAAAGCAAGAATTATACAGGCTTCCCTCCACCTGCACCAATACTCCAAACAAATCTAATTACTGGAGGCTGCATAATCTACTTTGCTGAAGTAGATGCTTCCCTCTCTTAATAAAGAGTTGATAACGTTGGTTGAATTCTGAAAATTAAATACATATGAAATACTTGTAGTTGTAATTCATAAAATTGACTTGCAAAAGAAAAAGAATCCACAGGAGAGTTTCTTCTTTTTATTAAAAACAAAGTAATTTACTCATATTCTCTAAGTCAAAATTAGAAAACAAATTATTGTGAGCGACTGATAACTGACCTGATATTTAATTTGAAAAAGTTTGAATCGTAAGGCCACTTAAGACTCATCCTGTTATGCAACTGACGCCATAAGCATGGTTGAAGGCATTTTTTTACATAATGTCAATTCTCTCTTTCTCCTAAAACCTTTATGACAGAACTCCTTGTCTATCATATGGCATCAAAATACCTTTAATATTGTGCACAAGTCAGTCGGTCTACATATATGGTCCTTTTTTTTATACCTTAGCAGGTCGTTTCCCCATCCACTTTCATTCTATGGATGAACTCCTGGATATGGATGACGATGTTAGGATGAACTCACTTCCTTTTAGAGTTCTCTTTTCCCAAGAGCATTTCTCTGTTCTCTCATTATCACACAGAGACGAACTATAAAACATATTAGCTCTTCAATATCTTTTTGAGTTCATTCTCATATATTCTGGAGCTTGTTCAGTACCTGTGTTCAATGGGAGCACTGATATGAGTCTTTAAAGAAGACTATTCCATGTGCCCATTCAGGACACTCATTTCTTCCTCAGACTAATAGAGAATCTCATGCTCCTCTTCGTCATTTGTGTCTTCACAGTAGTCATCTTTTGTTTGCAGAAGTGGAAGCTCAAGGTGTGGGTTCTCCCTGACTGGTAGGTGTCTTACCATGGGGCCATTTCCTACAAAAAAGATGGGAGACGGACACACTGAGTGCACAAGAAATACTGCAAAAAAGAATCTGTAATTGGAAAACTGGCTTTGCATATGTTTTTCTTCCAAACATTTTGCTGTTCATTTTTTCTGAGAAGTTTATGTTAATAGACAATGTAAGGGAGCAGGGATTCTGCAGGTTTTATGGGGGTACATTTATGACCAACTAGGGATGCTCATTTCGGTTGATTTTGCTAACCAACAACCGCAGCTCATTAATCGGTTATTAACGGTTAACTGGTCAGATTACTATTAATTTTATATTAAACAAATTGACGTGTCTATTTTGTGTCTTACACTTTAAACATTGCATTTTAAAATACTGATTTAATTTTATATGCTAGCATATTAATAATAGAACAATACAACAGAGTATTTCCACGCACCTGCAGTGTTTAGCACAGAAGAGCAGAATAAACTAAATAAAATAAATAAAGTAAATAGGACTGCCCTAAATTATTTTCACTTAATAATTAATTTACATTACAAAACGAAAATACTGACTGATTCTTTTTAATAACCGGCATAGGCTGTTTTTTTTTTTTCAATCATGTTTTTTTTCTTCCGTCAAATAAAAATAGCTGACTTCCTCAAATCGCTCGCTCCACGGAAAATATGCATTTATTTAATGCCCTGCTTGTAGGCTATTATTATAATCACAAAACCTTTTACATTTTTTATAGAAATCATTATTTTAAAGATTGTCTTGCTATACGGTTTCCTCTCTCTCCCTCGCGGTTCAAGTGCGCGCGCTGCGTGATGAAAAGACAACAACAACACGCGCATATGTTGACTTTTTGTAAACAGTTTTGTTGTTTAAATATGATATTGCAATAATGTGCAAACATGCTTTATAGGCTGTAAAATAAAAGGTAAAGCCTATTTGTTGCGTTTATTACGCAGATCAAGGTCAACATCAGCGCTGGTTTGGTATCAACACGTCTGTATCAGACAGCAATATTCTTCTTCCATTTTGCTTCTTTGGCAAATGTGTCTGTAGGCACGGGGTTATACGTATCATCCTGCAAGTTAAGTATGTCTTGCAGTTGAAGAAGGGGCCGAAAACAAGGCGCACCTCACTGCCTTTATGTTGACAAGGAAAAAAGAAGAAAAGAAGTGCGGTCCTCTTATGAAACGACTGAATCAGCTGGGTATCGATTGTGCATAAGTGTTGCTGTCTGTGTTGTTACAATTGTAATATTTAACAATATTGTGATATTCAGGATTTGTACATTCATACAGCTCTGGATAACTTAAAACAGCGATTAGACCTTCAGAGCGACATTAATGCGTCCTGAAGTAAAGCGAAACGGCTATAAACTCCAGCAAGATAGAGTGATTATATGCAGAGTTATATACCTTTATCTATAAATGAAGTATAACTATAGAAACTGTGTTCATCTTAACTAAAAGCTTCGTCGAGTTTGCTGACCTCACGCATCGCGCACCTGTCAGTCAGTCAGCACATAACCCCAAAGTGTTAAACAGATTTTGCACTGTTATAATTCACTTACCTTTTAATACGTTTTGGTGCGATTATAATCCGCTATTAAAAACAACAACAATGACTGAATGTTTTGAATGGATAATGTAGCCGTGGAGGGATGCATTTTGGTCCCCGCCATGGAAGAATGAATGTAGCGGAAACTCTTTAAAAGTTCTCTGTAGTTGTCTTGACAACACAAAAAGCTGCTCTGGGATGAGCCGCGTGCAAAAGATGCCCCTCTTAACGCAAAGGCGCATTAAATCGGCCCCTTATGCAGCCAAACTAAAAATATATAAAATAATATTTTTAATTGTTTAACTGATAGCATTAACCGGTTACAAACGCACCCTTTCGGTTAATGGTTAATCGATTATTTTGAGCATCCCTATGACCAACTAAAGGAAATTTTAGAGAAAACAACAGCAAAATAAAAAATAAAAAACAATACAGCAATGCATTGAGAAACATGTATAATGTCTAGGGAGAACATAAAGAGTTGCATTTACAGCTATAATTCAAAGTAAGAATACAAACAAAATGACCTGACATAACTTTAATTAAATTTGAAATACATTAAGGCTTGAATCGCTCTGATTCAACCACATGAGTGTGAAAATAACGTTTACTTTGTGTTGTATATCTATATTTGATAGTGCTGTCAAAACAAATGCTATAAATAAAATTCTTCATGTGATGCCTAGACATTTTGCATAGCAAAAAGGGTTTTATACATATGACATCTTCTTGATATAAACATTTGATACTTAAAGTCAATCAGTCAATGCATAAAATATCTAATTCATTAGTGTCTTAAAATTGATCTGGCACATTAAATGTTTCTTTAATTAAGTATGCAAATAGCACTAGTTTTGCAGTATTAAAATTACACTGAATTATCAGAAGGTCAACACCCACCCAAAGACACTCCCTCACCAGTAAAGTGATTCCAAGTGGTCGAAAATGGACAAAAGAGACTATTAAAGGTTCACGAAACACCAAAACACATTTTTTGAGCTGTTGACAGTCGTATATGTGTCCCACACTGCTAAAAACACTATTAGGACACCTATATTTCACTAAAAAGTGTAAATTGGTTGTTTTTGCGTTATTTCAAGCAAATTTGTACTTCCTGTTTGAAACGAATTTTTGAAGCTGCGTCACGGTCATGACATAATAGCGTGTATTCCAGCGTGCAGACTGGGCGTCTGTGCCTGAGTGAGTCTTATTACGTCTTACAGTGTGATGCATTAATGCATGAGTAAGGCTTGGGTCAAACCAATCAGCGCGCTCTATTGTGCAACTTCATTAATATTCATTATTGTCACCGTGTTTACACCACAAAGACGCCACGTTGTGTTGGCAAAACAAGCGTGAAGTGTTGCTTTTATAGTTTGCTGCTGTTAAGTTTCTTTTTTATTTTCTCTCTGTGAGAGCTCAGAGTCACGTGTGGATTAACAGTGTACGCGACGCTCGACAACAATAACTTACGTGTCTAAGGAGGAACATTGTTTACCTGAGAGCTGTTCTCATCTGCAAACGCTGAAATCTGGATTTGCTTGTAGTATTCTCTTCATAAAAGCGCGGCTCTAGTTGCTGGTGATTGTTCTGTCTCTACAGATTTGGTAAGTGAGCGACCAGTGCTCTTTGTTTATTCAGTTTGTTCGTATCGAATTAAGTTAACTATTGCACTGAGTGCAGAAATGTTAGCACCGCATTTTGTGACCGGAATAACACACGCGGCTTTCTGACACTACCTGCCGTGTGCAAAGTTTCCGGGAAATGCAGAGTTTTTTTTTCTCTCATTCGCCGTGCGGTATCAAACATTGCATGAAAAATACACGCTTGCAGCAGTTCCTCGAATCAAATATCTCGTTTGTCGCGAAAGGCATGAATGAATTCCCTGAATGAAAGAGCCAAACTGCAGTTAAAGTCCAACATTTAATAATTTAGCAAATAATTTGACTACAGATGTCCATGTAGGTTAAACACCATCACTTTCTGCTGTCTGTGTGGGTGTGTATTTTGACTCTGAAACTCGCGCGTGCACAAATAGACACTCCCACACCATCCCACTTTAGTTCCTCCGACACTCCCCCCTAAACAGAGCTGGACACGCCCTTTTTTCTGACTTTTTCCAAAGTAGAGGTGTGAAAACACCCTGCTGAAACGAGGGGGTTTCATGGCCCTTTAAATGCCAGGTGTGAATGTTAACATAACTCCTTTGTCCACTTGTGATGGGATTGACAAAATCAGGTCACTATTGTCTTTTCAGAAGGTGGGACTTTGTGGTAATCAGAGAGTGTCATCAACTTTTAATAGATGCTGCAATAATGCATTGCATAGGTAAATTATTTTTTCTTATTCTAGTACACCATACTGGCAAAACTAGCTTTACATTATTAGTCATTATAATTGACCCTTCGCTAAGCCCCGCCCTCATTAGTTACTGTTGCTACGTCTGTCAAGCTTTCATGCCTGGCACATCTATTACAGTGTGTAGCGCCGGTGTCAGACATTCCCAGGGATATAATTAGTTATTTTTGGCAAACAGGTGAGATATCCGAGAAAACCAGACAAAAAAAGGACTGCAATATGCCTTATAGGGGTATATTCGGCACATAATAGCAACCGATTACAAAATAATTTAATCAAAATTGAAGCTAGATTAGCCTAGCTGCATCATACGCTGACCATTCAACAGCTTAGCTCATGCTCAGCAGGAGAGGTGAAATAAATAAAAAAAATCTAATATTAACCAATGAAACCTTGATTTCTCTTTTTTTTTTTTTTTTTTAGCCAAAAAGCTTGATAAACTATTGTTGTGCAATGAAATATGGCGTTACTAACCGACAGGAAACACGCATGACAGTGCTTCTATATAATTCATTCATAGAAAGAGCAGCCAGAGAGGGTAAATTGATGGATTTGTGGCGAATAATAGCATCGACTCATAACATTGTACAGAACCTAGAACTGTCAGTGTGTTTGTGTGCTCTTTATCTAGTGTCTATTTTAATTTGCAGTTAAGTATATAGTGCTCAGTTCGTTTAAAAAAAAAAAAAAAGGAAAAGACAACTGTGAAACATAAACTGCTTTGTATTTTTGTAGGAAACAGTTTAGATCTGTTTAGGGTGAGAGGTGTGCAAGTAATTGCCATCGGTCTATCACTGAATGTGAATATCAAAAACAAAACAAACTTAACTCCGCCCCTCACAGAGCTTGATGCACACTGACATTTCTCTTCTTGAGTTTTAGGTTTTGAAAAGGGAAAAAATTCCACCACTATGTCCAAACGTTAAGGATACCAGGTGTCAGATTTGCACAATTCATATGCACAGGGCTTTGGCTTGTTTCCCTTGCTCGAAAGCTTGACAGAGCCCCTGAGCGTAGCTATGGTTGCGAAGCCATGATTGGTGGGTGGCGGTTTTTGGGTGTGGCTTAGCGAAGTGTCAATTAGACTCACAACAGGCATAGGAAAGAATCTTACCTTTGTTACGGTATGTTTTTAGGCCAATATGAAGTGATATCCCAGACAGGCACACAGCAAAACCAAGCCAGTTGACTGTGCTCATTTTATCCCCCAAGAACTCCACTGCCAGCAGCAGAGTGCACACCTCCTACAGAGAGAAGCATATGAACACTATTAGACTAATGAAGACTTTAATACCACGCTGAGCTATTAGGGAAAAATCACCAAAAACAGAAAGAGGAGGAGACAGTGCTTCAGCAGCTTTTCATACTGCAAGTATGCAAAAATAACGGTGTCAATTCAAACATAATCAACCTGTCACATTATGACAGTAAATTAGCTACAATTAGCTGGGAAAATGATAACAGAACTCAATTCAAGAAGAAATTCATTATGATAATAATAAATGTAATAACTTTCTAATGACTTTGACAGGCAGGAACTGAATGTAATGAATTACAATCCCAAAAATGATTCAGATAGCAGTTAGTTAGCTGTCAAAATTAGCGCGTTAACGCACATGATTAAATTTAAATATTTAACGCGTTTAAAAAAATAACGCAGTTGGAGTTTTTTTATTTCCTGTTGTGGCCGACTTGTGTTCAGGGCCGGCCGCCCTTAGAGGCGACCTAGGCGACTGCCTTGGACAGCAGAATAATGAGCGAACCCCCCGGTCCTCACATTCATCCGCTACACCGACCCCCTCCTTCACGGTCCTCTGCCTTCCATATGAATAAAACGGCGTGATTGCCGTTTGCCTAGAGTGCCAGTTCAGCTTGCTCTGGCCCTGCGTGTGTTTAACGTGCAAAGAAATATGGATAAGACCAAGGACGCCGTTCTAGAAGGAAAGTTTCAGTATAAAACAATTAATGTCGTATCTTTAGGCTATCCTGCGTTTCCTCCAGAGTTTGATGCAATTTCGGGTGTTTCATTTTTAATATTTAGACTTTAATTGCAGTTCAGCAGTTTACTCTCATTCAGCATATTTTCATTCAGGATGTTTTAATGGAATTTGATACAGCATGGCGAACAGAAAAGAAAAAGGAAAAAAAAAAAAAAAAAAAAAATCGCTGTTTACATGGTCGACTCTTGATCAGTATTATCTTAATCATCAAAGCTGAGTATTGGTGTCCATGTGAATGAAAGTGCCAGATGAATTCACAAGCTGTCAAAGACATTTCTCTGCCCTTAAGCTGTGTCCCTCAAATGTTTCATTAAGTTTGACGTGTTTCCCCCCCTTTTGTAAAGTGTCTGCTTCACGTTCCCCTGTCAGAATCCTTGCTTGTTAAATACAGCCATACTTTATAATGCTTAGTTTAAGCAAATTTGATGAACGCCATTGTGCGTGTTGATGAATCTGAAGGGATCCCTCTCGCTCACCGGCACTGCGGCAGTGTCTCTGTTTGTGTGTGTTTGTGGTCCACTTAGAATTCAACATGGAAAGCGTTTTTGTTTGTTATTGGCATGGATTGTTTTGAAATTTAAATGGCATTTACATGCCTGTGTTTTTACTTCTGTAATAAATACGGCATTTCGTGATTAATCATGATTAATTATGTTTCATGATTGATCATGATTAATTACAAAAAAAGTGTGATTAATCACGTTAATTTTTTGAATCATTTGGCAGCAAAACACTTTGTTTGTGCACATTAGTCTCAATGACTCATTTAAACCTGAACTTTAGTATAGGGATCCACCAAATTTTGGGCTACCAAAAATGATCGTCCAAAAATATGTTTCAACTGAAAGAGAAAGTTGGCTGAAAATACGAGATGTGGAAAAAAGGCTATACTATGCCACACTGATCACTGCTGGGCTCAAATAATGCACCAGCAGGATATTTCCATGTAGTATACTTGTTCCTGCTGCTTGCATGTGGGTTATTATGCTGTCATGGCAACACTGGTAAAATGATGGCTATTAGTCAAGATGAACTTTTTTTAATTTAGGTTTATGGCGAAAGTCCATCCATAATTTCCGTTTTGACCGGGGATATTAATATTAGTGCATTTCTACTTCAGCATTTTAAACTATACTATAAAATGTTCAGCATCCACAAGAAAAAAAAAAGTAAAAATCTATCTAGGGTCTGAGCAAATTTTGGTTTGACTGCATATGTGTTCTCACCTTAAAAATGCCTGCAATGGACAGTGTAAGACTGGACGTGCGTGACACCAGCAGGAACTCAGAGAAGCCGAGCCCGAACGCCAGCATGCCACCCACAGACAGAGTGACTAAAGAGTACAGCAGGTGAGAGAGCTCACTGACCCTGAACAGCTTTTCTGTGGTGCTCACACTCAGTCCTGTGCAGGAATAACAAAACAAAGAAACAAAACAACAGGTTAAGACACAAATACACCCACAACCCTGAAACATAACAAATAGGAAAGTGAGAAATAACCAGCTGATTTTTTTGAAAGCCTTACAAATAAAAAAAAAAATGAAATAAATTAAAAGCTTCTGTACAAATGAGTACACATTATAAATGACGATTTTCATCATTTTTCTCATTGAATGTCACACCAATTTATTGTGTTTTTACTAAACAGTTAATAAATATATATATATATATATATATCAAAATAAGTGTGTTCACCAAATATCTTTGGGATAAGACTACATTTAAATTCAAATATAATAAATAATAGACAGAAAATTACACCCAAAATTAACCTAGATCAAACCTTTAGTATGTTCTCATTGATTCTTCCTGTGTTTTCCCTCCTAACACAATAATTTGTGGTGTACTCATTTTTACTCTATGTTTTAATTTTATTTTGGTAGAATAGTTGCTTTTGTTTCTGACTAATGATTGTCTGTATTGAGTAGATTTTTTTCTTTAAATATTTTTTTTGATTGTTTACAGATCAAATTCCATTTATATAAGCGAACAATACATGTAACAACTAAGCATAGTTAGAAAAAAATAAACTTCACTAACTTTTTGTATTTTCCCCATTTTTCCCCTTTCATTTGTATGCTTTATTTTATTATAAAACATTATTTTTATTTCCAAGTTTTTAGAACTCTGGAAACAATCTTTTTTATTCTTCTGTTTATAAAATCAGTTTTCTATGCTCACTTACACAAACTACTTTTATGATAAAGCATACAATATAAATACTAGTAGAGCGAAACACAAAAACTTAATTTCCTTTTGATATATTTAAACAAAAAATGTTACAAGACTGACCCTCATTAAGAAGAAACAGGGGAAATAGGCCCAGGAACATGAGGGGCTGCAGATGGTACATGGTGTCTATGGGGTTCTGAAGACCTGGGTGTCAAAGAGTTGGACAGGAGAGTCATGCAAAATGCAACACAGAATGAACACAAACACAGTTTAGGGAACTTAACAGGAGCATCCACCATCCTTGCTCACACTAAAGACTTACCAAGCTCTGCTTTCTGCATGAGCAACTGAGTGAGAGTCCAGCGGATTCCTCCGATAAAAGAGGCTAACAGGACCATGATGAAACCCTCCAGGTTAAACTGAGTGGACTTGAGAGTAAACATGAAGAGACCACTGGAAATCAGGACAACCACCAGGATCAGGAATGGATTCTGTTGGTGTGAGAATGGTCAGCATACATTACCTACAAGCAGCACTGACCACAGAAAGAAACAGACAATTATTCCTATATTTTCCATCCAAACTAGTAATTGGAAATAGACAAACACAGAAAATGGCATTTCATGGAGTGATTAAAAGTAGTTTTAAACTAATTTGTACTGGCCCCCTATAGGCTTCACGTGTGCTTTTAGCCTCTTAATGGTCTGACACCTCCATGCATGCCTGATTACCTGCTGTTCCATTTTTGCAGCTAAAACAACAGATAAGCTATATTAAAACCTTTAAAGTGCCACAACCGGTGAGGAAGTGCACAGACTTAATGAAAGAGTACAGAACTATTAAACTGCATGAGAATTGAAAGGTGAGATTTTGATGTTATTTTTTTTTCATTTAATACAAAAGGCATAGTTCACTAAAGAATGAAATTCTGACATCTTTTATGCATTCTATACAAAGAACGATGTCACTGAAGAATGTTGGAAAAACAGCAGGCATCGACTTCCATAGAATTTTTTGTCAATTGATAGTTTTGAACATATTACCATCTCCCACTGACTGCAAAATCATGGGCTGAGTGATTTCTCTTTTTTTTATCATAATCGTTCAGTTGATAATTGTTGTGCAATTAGATATAATGATACTATCCAACAAGGACACATGGATGAGCTGTGCTTCTATGGAATTTCTTCATAAAAAGAACAACCAGAAAGGACCAATTTATGTATTTGTGCTAAATAGTAGCATCATTGACCCATAACAATCTATTGGCCTCTTTCCATTGAGCAGAACGGTTCTGTATGCTCTTTTATCCATTTCCACTGTAAAAAGCTACCAAAAAGTGAACATGCGATGTCACTTTATGGGGTACCCTTTCAAAAAGGTACCTAATACTACAGAATAGTACCAAAAGGGTTGAGCTAGACTCAAGGCTGAACAATATTTGTTTAAAGAGAATTGTCACCATTACGTGCAATAAGCCAAGAGAATGAAAACAAAGGAAGCACCAATTTTAAATAAACAGCCGTGAGCCATGGTGGACCAGAGATGAAACAAACCTGCTCGTATTCTTGTGACAAACAGCCATAAGCCCAGAAGAACAGAATCTGCCATGTGTCCTATTGTTGTTTACGAGTAGTTTGACTTTTTCTTTTTATTCTGTATTTGTGTATTTTTAACAAGAGGTTAGATGTGCTAGTGAAAGCTATGTTTTAAAATGTTTTTGAACCCAAATAAGGCCTAAATGTACATTTTGGGTAATTCCTTCAGGATATTTTGGTAAGCAAAACAGCCCCAGACATTCACACCACCACCACCACCACCACATTTTACTGTTGTATTTTTTTCTGAAAATGTAAGGGTACATACACGTTCCAAAAAATTCAATCTTTGTTTCGTCAGTATTTTCCCAAGGTCTTGGATATCGTCAAGATGTTTTCTGGCAAAACTGAGATGAGCCTTAATGTTCTTTTTGCTCACAGTACTTTTTGTCTTGCAACTCTACTATGCAAAAAATTTTTTACATTTCTTTTATGGCAGAGTCTTGAACACCTCCCATAACTGAGGCAAGTGAGGCCTGCAGTTCTTTGGATGTTGTTGTGGGGTCTTTTGTGACCTCTTGGAGGAATTTTGGCCAGCCAGCCACTTCTGAGGTTCTCCACTTTTCCATGTTTTTGATATATTTTATTTAATGCCTCTTTCTGTGGTTCGCTACAGTCACAAAGCTTTGGTTCCCTACAATCGCAAAGCTTTAGAAATGGCTTTACAACCATTTCCAGACTGGTAGATCTCAATTATTTCCTTATTTGTTTTTGAACTTCTTTGGATTACAGCATGGTGTTAGATTTTGAGGATCTTTTGGTCTACTTCACTTTGTCAAGCAGGTCCTATTTAAGGTTGATTGCAAACAGGTGTGGCAGTGATCAAGCCTGGGTGTCTCTAGAGAACTTAAAACTTAAGTGTGAAACCAGAGTTAAGTTATTTTTTTAACAAGGGACAAACACCTTCACATAGGGCAATGTAGTTTGGATTTAGTTTTCCCCTAATAATAAAAACCTTCATTTAGATTCTGCATGATGCATTTGTGTTACCTTGGACAATATAGTGAAAAAACATGCAGAAAAACAAGAAATTAATAAGGAGCAAAGACTTTTTCACAGCAGTGTTGTTCAGTGTTAGTTTGTGACTATCAGAGCAGAAATGATAGCTGCTGTTCTCTGTATCACTTTTTAAAAAATAATTTTATGTACTTTTTGATTAAGCACACTTATTTCACAATACTAGATAAAGTGATTCCAAGAACTTTGGCAATATTCTTTGAACTGCGCTAAACTACTACCTTCAATCAGTTCTTTTCATAAAAATCACTTGTCAACTTTTCTTGCTTTATATATTGGAGAAATCTAGTACATAGGTGAGCAACTGCTCAATCAAGTACAGGAAAATCGTACTCAACTGGCTTATTTTTAACATCTCACAGGGAGGTCTCTAATTTTTCATTTCACAATGTGACCTCTCAGCAAACCCCTTACAGCAGATTCAACATAACCTTTCGACATCCGGTTAATATGATCTAAACCTTACTGATTAAACATGTCCACTTTTAAAATGTTCTTTTATACAATCCCCAGAGTAGGAATTCATTCATTCATTTATTTTCTTGTCGGCTTAGTCTCTTTATTAATCTGGGGTTGCCACAGCGTAATGAACCAGCAACTTATCCAGCACGTTTTTACACAGCGGATGCCCTTCCAGCCACAACCCATCTCGGGGAAACATCCACACACACACTACGGACAATTTAGCCTACCCAATCCACCTGTATCGCATGTCTTTGGACTGTGGGGGAAACCGGAGCACTTGGAGGAAACCCACGCAAAGGCAGGGAGAACATGCAAACTCCACACAAAAACGCCAACTGAGCCGAGGTTCGAATCAGCAACCTACTTGCTGTGAGGCGACAGCACTACCTACTGCGCCACTGCCTCCCCGAGTAGGAATTCATTCTCTTCAAAATGCCATAATTTTAATATGACCTAAATTGCTAAACAATGTCTGCTGTTAAAATGCATTTTACTTTTTAAACTCATTCTCTTTAAAATGCCATAATCTGAAAAAGATAAATACAAATGTCTGCTGTTAAAACTTAATCATTAATAAACACAGTAGGAATTCTTTTTAAAAGCATGCAGTTCTCCAGTCTGGGAAATAATGATTTAACAAAGAGTACAACGTATTCAGCTGTGTCCATAGAGAAGTCCACAAAAGAAACCAAAAAAAAAAAGGAATACAACAATGCACCATCAAGCAAAAACAGGAACTAAAACTTCAGTTTGAAAATTGTTTCCTTTTATTTACACTTACCGGCTCCTCCAGTTTGAATAGCAAGGAGAAAAACAGAATGAAAAGAACAGCTGAAGACTTGGTCATGGTGTACCTGAACAAAAAAACAAAAATTCAAAGATGATTGTTACGCAGGTCAAGAATAAAATACAGTTTAAGAAAAGAAAAATATGACTCTTATTTTTGTCCTGATTTGCAGTTTAGACCAGTCAACACGTGATGAGAAGTCTGATTTTATGAAGGTTAGGGCTGACAGATTTCACAGAAATACACATTGGAAGTGTGATGGACACAGACTAATTTTAATCGTGATATATTGAGCCAATTTTACAACATTCTTATTCCAACACATTCATTTGTCATCTGTCATCCATCTCCTAACATCAAATCTTATGTTTACTTTACACTTGAGACTGTAGCTTTCTGAATGACCTGAAGATGTTGTGTTGTGTGTGAACTTATGAGCACATAATACCCAGTTCCTCCCTGAGCAAGTATTTTATAACTGTATTATACGTTATATGTTTTAAGGCTCTTCACATTAAAAACAAAATGTGTAATCTATTCCAGTCTTAATGTTAGTTGAAGTTTTTCACTTTGGTTAAATGTAAACAGAATGCTGCATCACAGCAGGGGCCTGCACCTTGAAGTTAGATTAGCTAATTCTGGGTTTTAGGTACATGAAATTGGCTCATTTCAGCTGCTCCATAATACAATGGCAACAAAGGGTGATTGGAATTTGAGCTGGCCTAATGTGACCTAAAACAAAAGATTGGTGCAAACTAAACTGAAACTTAACTGGCTAGCCTGCTAATCCAGCTTCATGCTACAGGCCTCAGGTTTGCTATTGTCATGACCTCAAAACATTTTTTTTTCTTCTTCTTCTTTACCAACACGTCAAGCTATATACAGTGGTGTGAAACAAATAAGTACATTAGGTAAATAATAAGTTTATTTTATTTTATTTTTTTTTAATTAAAAAAAAAACACATGGTAATGAGAACTTTATATAAAAAGATTCAGATTTTGTTGCTCGGATTTATTTATTTTCTTTAAACTTTTTTACAATTTGTTTTAAATGTGGCCAATATCAGACTCCAGTGTTATCTAATCAATGTCTTAACAGACCAATAAACGCAAAAAAACAAAACAAAAATCACATTCAGCATGCTGTCATACTAAAGTAAACAGTGTCAGCTATTTAGTTATAAGGTGGTGTGCTAGCAATGTCAGCAAATTCATGCACAGGTTATAAGTAGGTTGAAGAAGAGGATTAGAAGAGGAGTGAAAATATTTACATCATATACAAGCAAAAAAATTAAATCAGCAGTACAGACAGACATACATTAATATTACCTGCAAAATGTTAGAATAAAGTTTGAGGTGCCTCACTAACACTATACACTATTGCAAACACTATACAATCTAATCTGTCAGATAGTAATAAACATGCTTACAAACTAATAGTGATGAAAAGGAAACTCCAGTTGGACAGTCCAATATCCAACGTTGTCGCCAGGGCTGAGGGACACAGACAAACCGATGAACAGATATTATTATGATCAACCATTTTCACACTAGAATGCAAGGTTTATATCATTCTGTGTTACTTTTTGAACATTAACTGATCATGAATAGATGACACTGCAGTACCCACTGTGCTTCTAAATCACATTAAATGTTTATTCCCAACAAATTCAACTACATTGCAACGATATCCGTACAACGCTGAATTTTGTCAAAGCCAACGTCTCCACTTACATGCTCGCTACATGGTCACAACGTAGAAATGTAAAACGACTAAAAAGGTTGTAGCAATGTTGTCGTGTAACATTCAGCAACCGTGAGACGACGTTCTTAGTACATGTATTTATTGTTTTTTCCTGGCAGTTAATCAATACCGTCTAGAATACAGGATAAGCAGAAATGGTTTTCCAGTATTGCTTTTAATATTAAATATTGCTCATTCATTTTTTCCTTTTTAATATAGGCCTGAGTGCATATATAATTTTTTACATGTAAAAATGCCACACAAATGCATATAGATTACATTAAATAATTAACTAACTATATACAGCTGAGGTCAGAATTATTAGCCCCCCTTTGATTTTTATTTTATTTTTTTTCCCAAATGATGTTTAACAAAGCAAGGAAATTTTCACAGTCTGTCTGATAATATTTACTCATCTGGAGAAAGTCTTATTTGTTTTATTTAAGCTAGAATAAAAACAGTTATTAATTTTTTTAAAAACCATTTTAAGGTCAAAATTATTAGCCCCTTTAAGCTATATATTTTTTCAAAAGTCTACAGAACAAACCATCGTTAAACAATAACTTGCCTAATTACCCTAACCTGCCTAGTTAACCTTGTTAAGCCTTTAAATGTCAATTTAAGCTGTACAGACGTGTCTTGAAAAATACATAGTAAAAAATTATTTACTGTCATCATGGCAAAGAGAAAATAAATGAGTTAATAGAAATGAGTATTTAAAACTTTTATATTTAGAAATGTGTTGAAAAAATCTTCTTTCGTTAAACAGAAATTGGGGGAAAAAATAAACATGGAGGCTAATAATTCTGACTTCAACTGTATAATTAAACTAAACTGGAGAATACAACAGATCGGGGAGCGCAGCCGAAAACCAGGCATAGCTGTAGGTGCGGAGAAAGTAGTCAGAGAAAGAAACAAATCCAACAGAGAATTCAATTCACAGATGGATCCACAGTAGCCACAAGTCACAATATGCAGTGAACGTTGTTGAATGAGACACAGAATGGTCTGTCGAAATTTAAACCGATTCATTTATAACGGGTAAATGTTGTACAGTGGTTGTCTACAACCTAAAGCAACAGCCATTAAATGGCAACATTATGACACTGTTGTGTCAACCATCAGCAACAACGTAGATCCTCAACCTTTTTACAGTATTGGTACAACGATGTAGGAAGGAAGCTACGTTGAGGCAACGTTGTGCGTTTGTTGGGTTTATACATAGTTAAAAGTGGTGTACAGAACAACAATAATCCAGATTAAGCACAGTGTGAATGGCCCTGATGTGGACTTTACCTGCCCAAACTGTGTGTTGGATAAAAAAAGATAACGGGTTTAATCTATTCAAACACTTTGTTTGGTCTTTGGACTCATGATGACTTTAATTCTCACCTGTAGGGGCTACTTTAGAAAGGTAGACCTTCCAGGGAAGAGTAACTCGAGGCTTTCCTGTCCAGCACTGCATAGCAGAGCGTGTCAGTGTGGATAAACAGAATATTATAGTGAGATGGACCAGGGTCATAAAAAGAGGAAAGTGGAAGTCCTGAAATTAAGTTACAACAACAGGAATTAAAACGGAAGTATAATAATATAACAATAATCTAAATTTAAGAAAAAAAACACAATGAGATTTTCATAATGCGACTGAATGACATCCCACCTTCATGAGCCATTTGTTGTAGAAGGTTATGCCAATAGAAAACGCATAGTAGAAAAGCACCAGACCCACAGTGCGCAGCGCCTTGCAGAGGAAGTGTGTCGGGCACGCCATCCTGGACAACCCGGATACCACAGGGCTCAGCTAACACTCTTTAAAAAACAAAGAGAGAGGGGTGGGATAATAACAATCAACGCAGTTAGTCCACAAGTGTGTTAACGTGTAAAACCAAACTTGATAAGGACAAGCAGGCCAAAGTTTGACGTCCGCGTGTCGAATCGATCGGAGAAACACTTGTTGAAAACTGCCAGAACAAGCTGTGCCGGTTCAGTGCCTGATAAAGAGACTAAAACCTCATGGGTTGTATTCTGAAGCCATTTACACAATAAATTCGAGCTTCACTGAAGGGAGAGCTAAACTCATCACCTCACTGATGCTGACAAGCGCACGCTGACATTTACAGCTGAGCTAACCAATAAGTTACTAGTTAGCTTGGGTCAGTGATCAGTCTTCTTACCTCACTGTTTACATAGTCCTCCAAAACGAGAAGCTGCTGCTAATAAACACTATGTAACCATCATTTGGTCGCGCGAGTCGTCTCGGAGCGTTAGGTTTACATTAACACGCTACTATTAGTGAATCGTGTCATTTAATGATTGAGGGTTTTTGCAAACCTACAGACACCCCTGTGAGTTACTTGCGCTGCTGTGACGTGGACGTTGCTCTGCTGACACATGCGCTGCAGCCCGGGAACATTTGAATTCGATATAGATAAGGTTTCACAGGAGATCATTTCAAATCGAATGTTTTCATCCTCTGTGTGTGTTTGTTCTCTGTTGTTTGGACAAAGTGAATTATCTTGCATCGTATAATTATATTGTTTTTTGTTGTTTTGTTTTAACCGATATTTTGCAGCCAGTCATTTGAATCCGTTCATTCGAGTCGGTTCTTTTGAACGAGTTCTGAACAAATCATCATTGAATCAAACAGAGCGAATCACATGTGCAATGAATTTGATGGGGATTTTTAAAATTAAATTAATAGAAATTGAATATAGTAATATTACAATAAAACACTAATAATTAACAAATATCTGGATAAACATGCTATTACATTAATTTAAAAATACACATGGATTTAAATTAATCTTAAAATTATTATATTATAATTAATTCGCATAAATTACATTATAAATTAATTCATACAAACATAATTATGATAAAATTCAAATAAATAATAAATTAAAATACACTAAAATAAAAAAAATATTTAAATGCAAAAATACATACATACCGAGTTACTTGACAATGTAGAAAAATGCCATAACGCAACTTAATATAAACTAAATATTTTCCAAATTTAAATATTTTCCAATTTTATAGGGAAATTTATAACATTAAATGTTCATAGTACGAATTGCCTAATTCTAAAAAAAAATGCATAGATGCCTTTTACATTTGCATTTGCACGAGGATGATCATATCTTCAGAATCTAAGTGGCATTTAAAGATTAACCCCTGCCTCAAAATGGTTTGGCTAGTTAATACTTTTGTGAACGTTGGGCAGACAAAATCATCAAAAGTCTTTTTTTAAATTTTATTTAGTTTATCATTTGCTCAAGAATACAGGTGTGAAGATCAACTGTGATAAACAAAAAAGCCAGGACAGGAGTTGTGATTAATGTCAAACAACATATCAGTAGTGAGTACAATAAAAAAAAAAAAAAAAAAAAAAATATATATATATATATATATATATATATATATATATATATATATATATATATATATATATATAATTAAATAAATAAAATTAATTAATTAATACTTAAATTGCAAAGTATACCAAACTAAGTATAAGAAAAGGAATTCACAGTAAAAATATGTATTATACATTTGTAATTATGTTCATATCTATTTACATACCTATGATTATTAATAGCAACCTGTAGATACATTCATTTAGTGTAAATCTCTGTTCATGGCTAATACAACTTGTAAATATCATAGTATCCATCTGTTAATATCACCATAGTATATATATAACTGCACTTTATTACTTACACCTGTATCCTGCACTTGCTGCTATTGCACTTGCTGGTTAGACCTAAACTGCATTTCGTTGCCTTGTACTTGTACATGTGTAATGACAATACAGTCAAAGTGTGTCTAATCTAAAATCTAATCTAACAAAATACCATAAATACAAATTACATAAACACATAAAAAGAGCATGCATTTAATGTTTTAGTTGCCTGATTGTTAGAAGAGTTAGATAAATACTTAATATAATTTATAAAAAGACTCAGGTCAGGATAAAACAAAGCTAATTTGTGACGTCAAAGAATCACTAAATTGATTTGTTTGAAAGATTCGAAAATACGTTAAACTTCAACATGTGTTTCATCCAGAACTCTAGATGGCGCTAACCGATTGAATCTCCCTATCCTGGGTCGCGTCAGATGTAAACGAATAAACAGCGTTTCCTGCTGGTTTGTTTGTGTTCTCTGTTGAACTCTACATGTAAGCCATACACAAGCACTGTTCTCTTATAATATAAAATACCCGACATTTGCATATTCATACCCATTTCTAACCAGCGTACTGTTTTTAATTTCAAGAATGGCCGAGGAAGAAGATGATCCCGGTTTTGACGAGGATTTGGACGACGGAGGAAACGGGGCAGACTCCGGCCAAGGGAGGAGAAAGCGGCTTTTTTCCAAGGAGCTTCGCTGCATGATGTACGGCTTCGGAGACGACCAGAACCCCTACACCGAATCAGTGGACATCCTAGAGGATCTGGTGATCGAGTTCATCACGGAAATGACACACAAAGCCATGTCCATCGGGCGCCAGGGCCGCGTCCAGGTGGAGGACATTGTCTTTCTCATCAGAAAAGACCCCAGAAAGTTCGCCAGGGTGAAGGACCTGCTCACCATGAACGAGGAGCTGAAGAAGGCTCGAAAAGCCTTCGACGAGGCAAATTATGGCTCTTAAAATTGGCCCTCAGTTGCTAGGCTTTTATTTTGTTCAATCATTGTTAATTTTTTTTACATTTTAATGCTGTTTTGGTTTTCAGTTGCTTGACACTTCACAGTTTAGTTCATTTTTTTTCATTTGTTTGTGCAATAAATGTACATCGTTACACTTTTATCGGAAGATCTTTTTCCAGATTATTTTTTGAAAAGAGCTAACAAGCACTAACTTCTCGAGAATAATGAAAATTATAATACAACACCCGTATATTATCATTAACTGTTTTTGTTATAATCGCATCGTATGTAATTCTAAAGAGTTATTTTACACACTTCAAAATGAAAATAAAAAGGACTAAATCACAGTTGAAAAAGTAAGAATGGTTCCTCAAAGAACTGGACAGCAAAAAGTTCTTAAAAGGACTGTGTATTTTTTAGTTTTAAAGACTCGTCGATGCGCCCGTAGAATATTTAATTAATGAGTGTTAAAATACTATATAATTAATCGTGTAAGTCTTTAGTGTTTTGAATTATAATGTGCATTTGGCCTTTTTACAGATTATTGCTGAACTGGGTAAAAGTTCTATAAATTTAAGTCAAGAAAATGCATTATGAAAAATGTAACTCCTATATAGGGCTGTGCCGATAAACAATATTATATAGAATCGCGATTAAATTTGTCAATAACAATGATTAGATCTGGACTTTTTTTTTTTACTCTATATTGATCCAAGAGCCAATCACACAGCAGACATGTGCAACAAAGGGAATCTAAAAGTGCGTCGATATCAAAGATGTACCTAATTTTTGGCCACCGAAAATTTATTGGCTAAAAATGTTATGTCATTTAATGGACCCTCTAATTTTAGTTGCTTTAGTCAATATCGAGATTGCATTAGTTTTCCATTCATTTCCACAGTGGTAATTTTTCACTGCAAAGAAAAGTTTGTTTCAGGATCATCATTGCTTTTTTGATTTTCCAAAGTAAAAGGTTGGTCGATAATTAGATTATTTACATCAGGGGTGTCCAAACTCGTTCCTGGAGGGCCAGTGTCCTGCACAGTTTAGCTCTAACTTCCTTCAACACACCTCCCTGGAAGCTTCTAGTTAGTATACCTAGAAAGAGCTTGATTAGATGGTTCGGGGTCGGAACTAAAATATGCAGGACACCAGCCCTTCAGGACCGAGTTTGGACATCCCTGATTTAGATGTTCTTAAGGGGGGGAAATTACATAACTCTACCCCAATGTTCTTGAAAACTGCAGCAATAAGGAATAAAAAGCCTTGGTTAATAGTGTCATCTATTGTTATTTACATTTTTAAGTATTAATATATTGTATAACTATTAATAATTTATTATAACAAACTAATATAGACATAAATGTAGATATTGCATTAAAGAAAAGCCATGCTACCACTAGTCACCTTATTTTGCATGAGCTATTTCCAATCTATGTATGTAAATTCAGATATATTGCTGTCGGTAAATAACTCAAAAACTATTTGTACTACAAACCAAACCAGTATGTTTATGATTACACCAAGAAGTTCAAATAATATAACAAAAACACGGTTGTAAAATCAAACAGCATAACAGACAGCTAAACAAATGGAAGCAGATGCCAGAAGCCCTGCACATTCAACCTGCAGCACATGCATGTTGAGAAAATGAAAGTAAATCTGGTATTTTTCTCCAGTGTTTGTCAGTCCTCACAATAATGAGGACTGAATCACCCATTATTTGCAATGTTAGTGTGCGACGCTTTAATTCAGTCAAGCACACTTATGCATTCAGTAGCTGAAATCCTATCCATTTGTTCTACATATGAATCATACATACTTGATGAACTTTACATTACTAGTCTAGTCTACAAATAATACTCAGCAGCCATTGACCAGATAAACAAGACAGAATTTACTGATTTACACACACCACACAAAAAATAAATGTCATGTTGCAAAGCAATATGTGCAGTGGATGAGAACTAGGCTTCAGAGCATAATAATTTAAGAAATATTTAAAGCACTTGGGTATTTGTAAAATAATCTGGAGTTGGGGTCTTGCTGCTAATATATATGAACATTAAACGTTTTTGGTCTATACATACAGCGTCTATAAAAAACCATCATACTCTGTGAAAATCTTTACCTTTACTCACATTACACCCTGCTTTCAAAGACCTTAAGGATAAAGTTGTAGAAAAGCACAGGTTAGGAGAAGGCTTCACAGACATTTCAAAGGCTGGAAAAGTTATTTGGAATGTGATTTGATTTCAGGCTGCATGACAAATAAAAGTAATCATTTCACAGGGGTGCTGGTTTTCTATAGGCGCTGTATATACAGAAACTATAATCTAATCGGGGTCAGAGACCTTGATAAATCATAAATCAAAAATACTAAACAACATGTGTTTTATTTTTTATTCTGTTTTCAAGCGTTTGTTCTTAAATACAGTGTAGTGGTTGTGGCTTTGGCATTGGTCTATGCAGCGATAACAAGCTGCTGATCTAGACTAAATCTAGACTAAAGACACCCACAAATGAGGGGTCTACCATGGCGTGTGTTTCTAGCGAACATATCAACATCATGAAGCTGCGAACCACACCACAGCTTCGCTCCTTGGGTCTTGCGTATGAGGATCA